TTTTTCCATGTTGGATTTTTCAATTTTTCTCAGTTTTCAATTTTTCGATTTACCCAGATTGTAGTTTTTCGATATTTTAGTTATGGGATTTTTCAGTATTTCGGTTCTTGAATTTTTTTATTTTTTTGTCTTTTCGATTTCTCTACTTTTTAATTTTTTGCGTTTTCGATTTCTCAATTTATCGATTTTTCAATATTTTATTTTTTATGAATTTTAAATTTTACTCCTACATTTTTTGACTTCTCGGTTTTAGATTTTTCGCTTGTTAAATTTTTAGACTTTTCAATATTTCGATTTCTCTGTTAATCGAAATTTAGACGAATTTTAATTTAAAACTTTCTAGAATTTTCAATGTTTCGATTTTTTGATTTCTAGATTTTTGAAATTTTGGATTCGATTTTTGTATACTTATTTTAATTTTTCGATTTCTAAATTCAAGGTTTTTGATTTCTCGATTTCTTGTGATTCCGGTTTTTCTTTTTTTGAATTTTTGAATACTGAAGTTTCTCGATTCCTGATATTTCAGTTTTTCAATTTTTCGTATTTTCGATTTCTAGATTTTTTAATTTTTCATTTCTTCAATTTTTGGATATCTTAGTTTTACGATTTCTCAATTTTTCAATTTTTCAGTTTTTCCATTTTTGAGTTTTCGATTTTCAATTTTTCGATTGTTCAATTTTTCAATTTCTCGGTTAATCGAAATTTCGATTAAAATTTGAATTTAAAATTTTTCAGTTTTTCAATTTTTTCGAGGTGTTTTGATTTTTCATAGTTTCGAATTTTGATTTCTCGATTTTTCATATTTTCGATTCAATTTTTGTATATTTTAATTTTTCGATTTTTAGATTCCAGATTTTTTGATTTCTAAATTTCTTGCAATTTCAGTTTTTCATTCATCGAAGTTTTGAATACTGAAGTTTTTCGATCTTTAGATTTTTCGATTTCTCGGTTTTAGTTTTTCGGGTTTTTCGATTTCTCGATGTTTCAATTTTTCGATTTCTAGATTTTTACATTTTGCGACTTTTCGATTTTTCAATTTTTGGATATTTTAATTTTCCCACTTCTCAATTTTGTAATTTTCCGATTTATCGATTTATCAAGATTTCGATGTTTTTTTATTTAAAATTTTTCGATTTTTTTGTCCTCTCGGCTTTTCGGTTTTTTGATTTCTCCATTTTTTAATTTTTTGCTTTTTCCATTTCTCGATTTTTCAATTTTTCAATATTTTAATTTTTATAATTTTTTAATTTTACATTTTTCGACTTCTCGGTTTTAAGTTTTTGCTTTTTCAATTTTTCGGTTTTTAATTTATTGATTTTGCAATTTTTCAATTGTTTAATTTTTTATTGATTTATTGAGATTTCGATGTATTTGAATTTAAAATTTTTCAGTTTTTGAATTTTTAATGTTTTTTAAGCTATTGCGATTTTTCGATTTCTCTATTTTTCAAAATTTCGATTCTTCAATTTTTGGATACTTCAATTTTTCAATTTTTTTTAATAATCTCGATTTTTGTAGATTTTTCGATATTTCAGTTTTCGATTCTTCGAATTCTTGAATGCTTATTAAATTTTTAAATTTTTTAAGGTCAGATCTCACAAATTTTTTTTCGATTTTTCGATTATCGATTTATCGAGATTTCGATGTTTTTAAATTTTAAGTTTTTCGATTTTTCGTGTTCTTGACTTTTCGAGTTCTTGGTTTCTCGATCTTTTCATGTTTCGATTTCTGTGTTTCAATTTTTACTTCCCGAGCGTAAGCAAAGGAAGTATTGTAATCGAGTCCGTCGGCCGACTCTCTACTTTTACGTTTTCTCGATCTTTCATGAGCCCTAGAAGACGAAGAAATAGGTCTCCCATTTCCGTCTGTCTGTCCGTCTGTCCGTCTGTCCGTCTGTCCGTCTGTCCGTCCGTCTGTCCGTCTGTCCGTCCGTCCGTCTGTCCGTCTGTCCGTCTGTCCGTCTGTCCGTCTGTCCGTCTGTTGTCCCGGATTTTTATTAGACCGATAATCTCCGAAAGTACTCGACCGATTGTTGTGAAATTTTGTACTTATATTAAGAATATCATGTAGATGGTAAAACGCTAACCAAAATTTGTCTAATCATCCCCACCACTAATGCGATGACGTCACTTCAAAATTGTACATAGTAAATGGGTTTTCAATTGTATAAAATAACATAGTCCTACACATGTAGTTTACAACTCTGAATCGATTTTTCACCCGAAACCTCCAGATTTTTGGAAAAAAAATCAAAATTATAAAACAATATTTTGAAATTTAATTTTTAATCTGCTAACCAGAATGCTTTGAAATGTTGCAGATGTTTTAAGGCTATAAAGAGCATCATAAATCTTTAGTCAAAAAATATTTGCTTATCCCCTCCAAAAACTTGATGACGTCAGCTCAAAAGTTTGTGGAATAAATCATATCTAAAATGTACAAAATATGATGAGTCTGTACTTGTGATCTATCACTCCATTCATATTTTTTGGATTTGCATATACAGGGTGACTCAAAAAAATTAATGTGAATGGGTAAATATATTTTATTGATTTAATCAGGAACTACAAAACCGAATGCTCTGAAATCTTGCAGATGTTTTAAGGCTATAAAGAGCATCATAAATCTTTAGTCAAAAAATATTTGCTTATCCCCTCCAAAAACTTGATGACGTCAGCTCAAAAGTTTGTGGAATAAATCATATCTAAAATGTACAAAATATGATGAGTCTGTACTTGTGATCTATCACTCCATTCATATTTTTTGGATTTGCATATACAGGGTGACTCAAAAAAATTAATGAATGCGCAAAATTTATTTTACTGATTTACTCATTAACTACAAAACCGAATGCTTCGAAATGTTGAAATTTTTTATCAAAATGTGTTTGGTCGTCCCTCCTAAAAAATTTATGACGTCACCACAAAATTTTGCCGAATAAATCCTATCTAAAATGCACAAAATATGGTGAGTCTCTTCTTGTGATTTATCATTCCATTCAAATTTTTTCGATTTGCATATACAGGGTGACTGAAAAAAATTAATGAATACGTCAATTTATTTTATTGATTTAATCAGGAATTACATAATCGAATGCTTCGAAATCTTGGAGATGTTTTAAAGTTACCATAAGCATGGTAATTTTTTATCAAAATGTATTTGCTCTTCCCCCCTAAAAAAATCGATGACGTCACCCTAAAATTTGGTGAATAAATCCTATCTAAAATGTGAAAAATATGATGAGTCTGTACTTGTGATTTATCACTCCGTTCATATTTTTTCGATTTGCATATATAGGGTGACTGAAAAAAATTATTGAATGCGTCAATTGATTTTATTGATTTAATCAGGATTTACAGAACCGAATGCTTTGAAATCTTGGAGATGTTTTAAAGTTATTATAAGCATGGTAATTTTTTTATCAAAATGTATTTGCTCATCCCCCCTAAAAAATTGATGACGTCACCCCAAAAGATTGCTGAATAAATCCTATCTAAAATGTACAAAATATGATGAGTCTGTACTTGTGGTTTATCATTCCATTCATATTTTTGGATTTGTATATACAGGCTGACTCAAAAAAATTAATGAATGCGTGAATTTATTTGATCGATTTAATCAGGAATTACAAAACCGAATGCTTTGAAATCTTTGAGATATTTTAAAGTTATTATAAGCATGGTAAGCTTTTGTTCAAAATGTATTTGTTCATCCCTTCTAAAAAAATTGGTGACGTCACCCTTAAATTTTGCTAAATAAATCCTATCTAAAATGCAGAAAATATGATGAGTTTGTACTTGTGATTTATCATTCCATTCATATTTTTTAGATTTTCTTAAAGGGTGGCTCAAAAAAATTAATGAAGTCAATTTATTTTATTGATCAAATTAAAGGCAACACTTATTATTAGTATTACATTGGACCAACCCAATTTGGTAGACACAAAATTTTTTAAAGTTAAAACTCGGTTGAAACATAGCTGACTAGGTTCCGCGAATGTGGTATAGACATGTTTTAAATCAACCAATTGTGAATTCCACCGTCAAAAATTAAAATAAAATCCAATGTTTTATATAATAAGCGGAAGTCGACGCAATAAAACCGATTGTCGTTTTGTTTACAGTTTCTTTGTTTGACTCTCACGTATGCTGTTACGCCTGTCATCTTAAATGAAGAATGTTTATCCATACACGATTTTCAGTTGTCTCTGATATGTATACGTGAGTAAATTGTTTCGTTATTTAATTGATTATTACAAATCAATATTCAAAACGACCCAATTCATTTTCCCGAAAATTTGAGAATATAATAATTTTATTCTTAGTATTACACTACATCTATCCCAACTGATATACGTGTCCTTGCAAAAATGTTGATGACGTCATCGCAATTTTTTTTTAAATTCCCACTACAAAAATGTAATGAGAAAAAAACACAATAGGCATGCAGTCGTCAAGTTTCCGACAGCGAGGGAAGTACTGTCTAAACTCTTTAGACCAATTTTTTCATTTTATATTTTTTAGATTTTTAAATTTTGCGTTTTTTTAAATTCTCCGACATTTCGACTTTTCGACATTTTAAAATTTTGATTATTCGATTTCAGTTACTCGATTTTTCTTTTCGCATTTCGATCTATTGGTTTTCAATTCGTGGATTTTAAAAATTTATTATTTTTCAATTTTTCAGTTTTTCGTTAACATGTTTTTTTTATTTTTCGGTACTGGAATAATCGATATTCAAATGTTTCAATTTTTCGATTGTTCAATTTCTCGATATTTCGATTATTCATTCGTAAAGCGGGGACTGTGGGAGTGTTATTTACGTCAGCAGTTTTTGCCTCGACCTTCGACCAAATTTTTTTCTTTACTTTATTAATGATATCGGAGTTAGAAAAGTTCTAACAGATTTTTTGGATTATGCATGAGGTCAGTGTTTATATTATAACCGGTTCAAAGTTGTTTATTAGTTATCAGTATGTTAAAAAAAATAAAAAAATTAGATATTTCTTAGTAGTTTATTTCGCATTTTACAGACATTGTACATAAACAGAAATAATTTCAACCTTATTTCTTCAAAAAAATAAATCTAAACTCCGTCGAACAATTCTTTGATCTCCACTTTCTGCAACAAACCATCAAACAAACCGCCAAAATACGGCTCAAAAAACACTTGAAGATGCTTAAATCGCGCAAAAATCTCCACCCCTTTTTCGTTTATAGCAGCATTGAGTTCATAATTGAGACGCTTATTGGGAGCCAACCGCTTAAATTCTAGCTTAAAATTTTCAGCATTCATGTCAAAATCAGTATCGACCACTTTAAAGTAGCGACCTTCATTTTCGTATTCTTGCAACTTAAAAACCAAATTAAACGTAGGTTTTACTAAAAAATATCCCTGTTTTAATACTGCGTGACTTAGAAAACGTTAACTCACCTAACAATCCTTCAAAAGTGGTTGCAATATTTACAGGGAGAACAAAAACCGCGCCCTCCGCTTCATAGTCAGTTCGGAAAACAATTTCGGGGAAAGACACGTTTAAGACTAGGGTGTTGGTTTTAAAATCCATTCTACGGTTGAGAGTGATAATTTGTCAAATATAATAGTCAATAGTGACTAAATATACCTAGCTTTTGTGAGGTTAGGTTTTGTAAGACCAAACAATCTATAGTTACTAAATTTCTGTCTTAAGCCGTCGGTGCTGTTTCCAAATTCTGCAACGACATCTGGTGTTACTTCTGCTTCCTGCAGACTCGGTAAACCATATTCCGGGAATGGTTTATCTAGTTGGTTAAGAGCGTCATGAATGACTTTTCCCAAGCAGTCGTCAAAATTTGATGCTCTTTTGTCACATTTTTGGAAAGTGGGAGCTTAGAAAACAATATTGTAGAGGACTTAAATTTGTTTGATATACTCACGAAGCTTGATCGAGCTGCAAACCGTCACCAAAATGACGAGATTAAAACTTAGACTTTTCATTGTATGTCTTCAGATCAACTGGCTCACTTTTGATTGTATCGCGCTTTTTAAATACTAATATTTGAACAAAATAAGAAAATTATGGCTTTTGAAGAACCTGGTTTTGACAAGGTCGTGACTTTCAAAGTGCGCTAGTGTTAGTTTATAAAAAAAAAAAAATAAACGTGGTATTATTTATTCACATTTTTACACAAATATAACGAGATTAGTATACAGTCAAAGTAGTACCTAAAACCCATCAAAAAGTTCAGCGACCGATACTTTGCTCAAAAAGCTGTCTAACAAAAAGGCAAAGTATGGTGTAAATGAACTTTCCAAGAACTTGTAAAGAGTAAAAATTTCGGCCCCTTTTTCGGTCATTGCGGCGTTAAACTCTTCATTGAGGTGTTTATTTTCAAACAACTGTTTGAAGTTCCATCTCAAACCCTGCGTTCGTCCGTCCGCCGTAGCATCGAGTACTCTAAGATAGGTAGTACCTTTGTAGTACGGTTCCAGTTTAAAAATGTACGTTAAGGTCGGGTTTACTAAAAACTGTTAGTTATTTTCGTTACTTTGGTTTAACAAGTGCTCACCCATTAGTACTTCTACGGGTGTCATAGCATTGAGAGGCAACATGACGATAGTACCTGCACACTCGTAGTTAGCTTGGAACAATATATCCCGATAAGTTAAACTCACGGTCAAAGTATACGTATTATTTTCGTAGTCCAGTCTGTAAAAAAAGTACCGAGTACTGAGTAATACAGCGAGTAAAAAACTGCCTCTACCTAGCTACAGTTTTCTCAGGTCTAGAAAGCCCCAAAAACGAAAGATTACTGAATTTTTGTTTCAGCCCCGACAAACTCCGATTCCCGAATTCCATCACGTCTTGGGGTCTGAACTGAACATGGTACAAACTCTGCAAATCGTGTGACGTAATAGCTGAGTCTAATTTTCTGACAGCTTCATGGATAGCACTCCCTAAGCACTGGTTGAAATCGATTTTTTTCATATTGCATTTTTTAAAACCGGAAGCTTGAATTAAATTGGTTACAATTTGTGAACAGAAAAGTTAATATACTTACGAAGATCAATGCAAGTACCAAAGGGTACTAAAATCACCACAAGAACCACAAAGTAATTCATTTTCTAGCAAACGCGGTACTACCGAATGAGGTTCTTTGTGGTGCTGAATATATATATTTAAGTTTAGTAATGCGGAAAAATCTGTACAGGTCCGAATCAGGTTTGGCAAGGTCAATACTGACCCGCGTATTGTAAAAGGTCTTATCATATTATCAAAATGGATGAGTTTAAATGTGTGTTAATAGGTAGAATGGCTCAATTAGGGTGGCTAGACACATGAATAGTCGTTTGTTTGTTTTAATTAATTAAACAATAAATGTTGGTCTACTTTAGAAGTTCATTTTAATGAGTTTAACAATTTGCATTATGCAAACTACGAAATCACTATAATCCAGTTTTGGCTTTGTGTCAAAAAAGTTGGTGATATTGCTTACCATAAATGTCAATGGAAAAATTTTGCATATGAACAGGTTTATTGTTTTATTGTTAAGATCAATCAAATACAAATGTAGATATAACTATGTAAAATCTTACGTCAATTATTAACGATTCAAGCAAATTTTTGGGTTAGCAATTCTGAGTTATTGGCAGCAATGTATGTCAATTTTCAGTTGTCAATTTTGACAGAAGCGCCCGAAAGCCAATGAGAAGATGTCACCGAGTTGTCAGGTACGCCATCATAAAATTTTAAATATGTTGCCAACCTGACGAAAAAATCACAAATATTAATAGTCACAGTACTTGAAGTAGTACTTTACTTGGAAGTATTGTAAATAATTGAAGTAGGGACTCATATATTTCGGTATTTGGTACTTACAACTTTGATTACTTTTTAAATTAAATATACAAAGAATTCGTACTTAATTTTGCCAAGTACTTGGATGAGTACTTCATATAAATTTCATATTTCAAGCTATTTAAAAGTACTGAAAGTAAATATTTCGTGTACTCACACCTACTAGCTTTTACATCTCAAAATACAGAAAGTACGTACTTTGGATAATTGTAAGTAGTGTCGATATTATAAAAAAATAGAACTATTAAATAGCGCAGCTGCTGAGTTCTTGATATAGTACTTAACTTGGAGTACTCTTATATTTTAGTACTTCGTATTTGGTGCGTAAAATGTACTGGAAAAAATTGAACAAAGGATATAATCAAAGCTATTCAGTACCTGAAGTACTCATGTTTGGTACTTACTATTGATTTTACTTTTAAATTGTTATTTCCTACTTAATTTTTCCAAGTATTTTAACAGTGCTTCAAATATTTTTTCTGTCTCAAGGTATTCAAGTACTGAAAAGAAATAATTCATGTACTCATACCCATTAGTTTCCGCATCTCAAAATACAGAAAGTACCTGCTTTCAACTTTGTAATACATCTTTGCTGCGTAAAATGTACTTGGAAAAAATTGAAAAACAGTGGGTACAACTAGAGCTATTCAGTACTTGAAGTAGTACGTCGCTTGAAGTATGCATGTGTTTTGGTACTTACTACTGGCACTATTTTTAAAATGTACTTGAATTTCGTAGTTGATTCAACCAAGTACTTTAAAAGTGTGTCAAATAATTCTTCTGCCTGAAGATATTTAAAGTACTGGAAGGAAATATTGCATGTACTCATACCCATTCCCATTAGTCTAGTACTTTCTTGGAGTACACTATTATTTCAGTACTTTGTACTTGCTGCTTAAAATGTACTTCGACACAATTGAAAAACAGCGGGTATAACCAGAGGTGTTCAGTACTTACTTGAACTAGTACGTCGTTTGAAGTACTCATATATTTCAGTACCTGGATTAATTTAAAATGTACTTGGATTTCATACCTAATTTTGCCAAATACTTTAATTTGAGTGTTCGAATAATTTTTATATCTCAAGGTACTGAAAGTACTCAAAAGTAAATATTTCATTCCACTAGTTTTCATATCACAAAATACAGAAATTATGTACTTTCAGTATTTCTAAGCAGGTACTGTCTATGTTATAAAATGTTAGAACTGTGAAGTAATCACAGCTGTCGAGTGCTTAAAGTAGTACTTTACTTGGAGCTCGTATTTCACTTCTTCGTTTTAGCTGCGAAAAATATACTCCGAAAAAATTTAAAAACAGTGTATATAAAAGCACAGCTATTCGTATTCGAAGTAGTACGTCGCTTGAAGTACTCATATATTCCGATAAATGGTACTTTCTACTTGGATTTTTTTAACATACTTGTATTGGATTTGGTACTTGATTTTGCCAAGTACTTTAATAAGTGTTTGAAATAATTTTGATATCTCAAGGTAGGTATTTAAAGTATATGTACCTACTCATACCCAATAGTTTTCACATCTCAAATTATAGAAATTACGTACTGTCTACATTATCAAAAAAATAGAACTGTGAGGTAATTGCAGCTGCTGAGTGCTTAAAGTAGTACTTCGTTTGAAGTACTCGTATATTTCGCTACTTGGTACTTACTTCTTGGACTATTTTCAAAACGTACTTGGATATCATACTTAATTTTAACAAGTACTTTAATGAGTATTTCAAATAATTTTTATATTTCAAGGTACTTAGTATACTGAAAATAAGTACTTCATGTATTCATACTCACTAGTTTTAATATCAAAATGCGAAAAATACGTACCTTCAATATTTATAAGTACTGTCTACATTATAAAAAAAATAGAACCATGTGGTAGGTCTTGTGTTTGTAGTAGTACTGTACCTGTAGTATGCTTATATTTCAGTACTTCGTATTTGTTACGTAAAATGTACTTAGAAAATTATTCAGTACTTGAACTAGTACATTTCTTGAAGTACTCATACATTTTCTTTATTTGGTACTTACCACTAGGATTATTTTTAAGGTACTTCATTATGGCAAGTACTTCAATAAATGTTCCAATTAATTTTTATGTCTCAAGGTACTTAAAGTACTGAAAGTAAATATTTTGTGTACTCATGCCCACTACACTTCGTAGCTCAAATTACAGAAAGTACGTATTTTCAATTTTTGTAAGTTGTATTGTCTATGGAATAAAAATATAGAACTATGAGGTAGTCACAGCTGTTGAGTCCTTGATGTAGTACTTTACTTGGAGTACCCTTATATTTCAGTACTTCGTATTTGCTCTGTAAAATGTACTTGGAAAAAATTGAAAAACAGTGGGTGCAATCACACCTATTCAATCCTAGAAGTACTATGTTGCTTGAAGTACTCATATATTTATTTCGGTACTTGGTACTTACTACTTGGATTTCGTGTTTGGTTTCTCTAAATACTTTAATGAGTGTTTCAAGTAATTTTTTTATGTCAAAGTACTTAAAGTACAGAAAGTAAATATTTTAATGTATTTATACCTACTAATTTTCACATCTCATGAATGTTTCAAATATTTTTATTATATATCAAGGTATTAAAGTACTGAAATAAATATTTGTCGAAATTATGGAAACAATAACTATGGGGTAGTTACAGGTGCTAGACGCTTAAAGTAGTACTTTACTTGTATACTGTTATATACCAGAACGATTCAGCACTTGAAGTAGTACCTCGCTTAAAGTACTCATATATTCCAGCACTTGGTACTTAATGCTTGAATTTTTTTTCCATGGACATACTTGGATTTCGTACTTGATTATTTTAATGAGTTATTCAAGTACTATATTAAAAAAATGTAGAACTGTGATGTAGTCACAGCTGCTGAGTACTTCGTATCTGCCGCGTAAAATGTACTTGGAAAAAATTGAAAAACACTGGGTACATTCAGAGCTACCAGAAGTAGTACGTCACTTGAAGTAATTATATATTTCGGTACTTGGTACTTACTACCTTGCCAAGAACATTAATGATTATTTCAATACATTTTTTTATATCTTAAGGTATTTAAAATATTCAGTACTTGAAATAGTAGGTACGTCATTTGAGTACTCATATATTTTGGTATTTGGTACTTACTACTTGGATATATTTTTAAATGCACTTGTATTTCGTACTTGATTTTGACAAGTACTGAAAGTAAATATTTCATGTATTCATACCCGCCAGTTTTCACATCTCAAAAAACGGAAATACCTACTTTGACCATTTGTAAGTACTGTCTATATTATACAAAAAAATAGAACAATAACGTAGTCCCCGCTGATGACTGTCTAAAGTAGTACTTTACTTGCAGTACTCTTATACTTCAGTACTTAGTATTTTCTGAGTAAAATGTACTCGGAAAAAACAATAGGTACAACCAGAGCTATTCAGTACTTGAAGCAGTACGTCGTTTGAAGTAGTCATATATTTCGGTATTTGCTAGATGCTACTTGGACTTTTTTTAAGTGCACTTGTATTTCGTAATTGATTTCTGTCAAGTACTCTAATAGGTGTTTCAAACAACTTGTGTATTTCAAGGTACTCAAAGTAATGGAAATAAGTATTGCATGTTATTACTATTTGTAAGTACTAATTATATTATAAAAAAATAGAACTATAAGGTAAACAGAGCTGCTGAGTAGTTCAAGTAGTACTTTCCTTGGAGTACTCTCACACTTCAGTACTTCGTATCAGCTGCCTCAAATGTACTTGGGAAAAATTGTAAAAGAATGGGTGCAGTCAGAGCGATTCAGCACTTCAAATATATGGTCCGTCGCTTGAGGTACTCATATATTTCGGTACGTGATAGTTACTATTTGGATTATTTTTAAAATATACTTGGATTTCCTACTTGATTTTGCCAAGTACTTGAATGAGTGTTTCAACTACTGAAAAAAAATCATGTGCTAGTACCCATAATACAGAAGGTACGTAGTCTCAATATATTAAGTTCAGTGCTTAAAGTACTATTTTATTTGGATTGTACACATTTAAGTTATATATTTTAGTACTTCACTTCGTATTTGTAAAATATACTTGGAAACAATTGAAAAACAATGGGTACTAACAGAAATTTTCAGTACTTGAAGTAGAACGTTGCTTGAAGTACTCATATATTTCGGTACTTGGTACTAACTACTTGGATGTGTTTTAAATGTATTTGTATTTCGTACTTGATTTTGGCAGGTACTTTAATGAGTGTTTCAAATAATATCTATGTTTCAAGGTACTTAAAGTACTAAAAACAAATATTAGATGTATTCATGCACACTAGTTTTCACATCTTAAAATACAGAAAGTATGTCCTCTCCATATTTGTAAGTACTGTCTCTATTATAAAAAAACTATTGGCTGAGTTCTTGAGGTAGTACTTTACTTGAAGCAGGTACTTTTATATTTCTGTATTTTGTATTTTCTTCATAAAACGTACTTAAACAAAAATTGAAAACCACTGAGTTCCATCAGAGCTATTGAGTACTTGAAGTAGTTGCCTGAAGTGCCCATACATTTCCGTACTTGGTACTTACTACTTGGATGTATTTTTAAATGTACTTTATTTTCACAAGTACTAGAACTATTGGGTAGTCACAGTTGCTAAGTGCTTGAGGTAGTACTTCACTAGTAGTAAATATTCTTATATTTTAGTACTTCGTAATTGCTGCGTAAAATGTGTTTAGGTTCAATCAGAAATATTCAACTTGAAGTGCTCATATATTTCGGTACGTGGTATTTACTACTTGGATTATTTTTAAAATGAACTTGGAATGTATACTTGATTTTGTCAAGTTCTTTCATGAGTATCTCAAATAATTTTTATATCTCATGATATTTAAAAGTACCGAAAGCAAATATTGTATATAGTACGTATTTTAAATATTTGTAAGTACTGTCTGTATTATAAAAAAAAATAAAACAATGAAGTAGTCATAACTCCTGAGTGCTTGAAGTAGTATTTTGTTCTGAGTACTCTTTTATTTTAGTACTCGGTACGGCTCACAATATACTTGGGAAAAATTGGAAAATAGTAGGTTTTCAGACTTATTCAATACTTGAAGTAGAAGGTTACGTAAAGTACTCATATATTATAGTAAAGTTTGTCTCGCAGTACTTAAAGTACTGAAAGTAGATATTCCAAGTACTCACAATCAGTACTTTCATTAATACTTCTAAATGTTGTCCAAACTATTATTTTAGACGGTATTTTTTTGTAAGAGCGCTTTATTTAATGTCAGTTTAGAAGTCATTAGAAATGTTACATTATACAGGGTGAGTCACTAAGGGCGCGGTCTTCGATATCTCACTAATTATGAAAAATTGAAAAAAACTTTAGAATTATTTTTAAGGTTTATTATAATAGTGCTCTGCTTCTAAGGCGTAACACACAACTTCATTTTTTAATGAAACACACTGTATTTTTAGGTATTTTGATTGATCTCATCTCATTTTACTTTTGAAATTCCGATGCGACGTTACCATGTTATTCCAATTTCTTCGAAATTTTTGGCAATGGGCAACGGGGTTATTTTTAAAGTCCGTCTTATAATATTTTGTGAAAGGATCTAGAGAAACTAAATCAAATTTTAATATACAGAGTGTTTATAAAAAATCTAAAATATTACAATTTTGAAATGGTTTTCAAATGGAACATCCTTATTCTACTTTTTGTCCTCATTCTTCTAATATATCCAAGTGTCTCTTAAGAAAATAAAAAATCCCGGTAACTATCAACTTTAAATATAAAAAATACCTAGCAAAAAAGAAAGAGAAAAAAATAGAATAAAATGCATTAATAAAATATAGGGTGTTTTATTTAAATAACTTGAAATATCGATATTTAAAAATTGTGAAGTTTTAGATTTTTTATAAACACTCTTTGTATTAAAATTTGATAATTCCACAACATATCCTTCCAAAAAATATCGTAAGATAGATTTTAAAAATAACCCAATTTTTTGGGGACCCTTCCAATGCTAAACAATTTCAAGAAAATTGGAATAACGTGACGACGTCGCAGATAATTGCAAAAATAAATTAAAAAATATAAAAATATATAGAGTATTTCTTAAAAAAAACTGAGTTGTAAATTATGCCTTAAAAACATATAAAATAATTATTAAATGCATTATTTATTTTAAACTGGTGCGAAATTTTCGGTGAATAGGGTTTCAATTAAAAAAAAAGGCAAAGTGTCAATTCTACAACTAAAATATAACATGTCATTATTTATTCTGCATTTTTACATATAACGTCAGAAGGTACAGATATAAAAGCAGAAAAAAGTACGCTTAAAATGTCAAAAACATCTAAATCCCATCAAATAGCTCAGAGAGTGGTACTTTCGCCAATAAATTGTCTAACATCAAGCCAAAGTATGGAGCAAACGTGACTTCCAGGTATTTGTAAGTAGCAAAAACTTCCTGCCCATGTTCAGTCAGTTCCGAATTAAACTCCTCATTGAGACGTTTGTTTCGGAACAATTGTTTGAAGTTCCACCTCATACCATGCACTTGAACGTCTATTCCAGTATCAATTACTTTGAGATAAGTAGTATCTTTCTGGTACGGTTTCAGTTTAAAAGTGTAGGTTAAGGTCGGGTTCTCTAAATATTGAGGTTTAAAAATTAACTTCGAAAGTTTTCACAAAAAGCTCACCTAAGGTGACTTCCACAGGTGTTACAACGTTAGTAGGCAACACAGTGATGCTACCTTCAGCTGCGTACTCTGTTGGGAACAAAAGTTCAGGATAAGTTACAGCTAAAGTCAGAGTATAAATTTTATGGTCATAATCTAACCTAAAAAAATAAAACAAAAACCGGAATATTAGGTTATGTAACGATAAAGCTGCAGTACCTCGCTGTAGTGGCCTCAGGTTTGGAAAGCCCTACAATCCTAAACTTGCTAAACTTTTGCCTCAAAACTGACTGACTATGATTCCCAATATTCATCACATCTATATCAGGTCTTAACTGAACATCGTATAAGCTTTCCAAACCGTGTGATTTAATTGGTTTGTCCAGTTGTATAATAGCATCGTGGATAGCATCACCCAAGCACTCGTTGAAATTAGTTCTTCGCAAGTCGCATTTTTTAAAATTAGAAGCTTCAATTAAAACGGGTTGTAATTATGAAAACTTTGAAAAATTAAATATTTACGTAGTTTAAGACTGGCGGCAAAAGTTGCCAATGTCACTACAAAGACTACGAAAGAAGTCATTTTCTTCACTGTAGTATGCACTGAGTTCCGCTCCTTTGTGCTGCTGAATATATTTATTTTCCGTGGCAAGAAAAAATTGTGTACAGGTTTGGCAAGGTCAACACTGACCAGTCCAACGTAAACAGTATTATCATATTATCAAAAAACGGTTTGTTACGTAAAGTTTGTGAAAAAGTTGGTCAATTTAGATGTATTATTAGACAAAGTATGGCCATTAGAGCGGCTAGACATTTGAATTATCATTCTTGGGTGTCTTAATTACCAAAATTGTTGGATTAATTTGACCAGTCTGAAAATAAGCATAAGTTTATGAATTTTCATATTAGAATTAATATGCATGAAAGAATGAAATTAGTCTAGTCTTTTTGTAATGTCAATGGCAAAATTTTGCAAAATTTAAGTTTAATCTCCCAATTATTCTTTTATTTTTTGAAAACGATATTAACTAAAAGTAGATATTTAAGATATTCAATTGCATTTTTATTCAGCAGACTTCAAATTGCGTCCAATTTTTAATGAATGCAGTGTTAATTTTAGAAATTTGAAGGTCAACTTAACAGAAATTTTGGAAACACTAATCCCTTTTCAGTTGAACGCAAACAAGGGAAACAATTTTTTACAAAATAAAACAATGTAATGTAATGGAGAAAATATAATAATATGAGAACATATGAATTTCGATTTTTCAGTTTTCCGTTTCCTCAATTTTTCAAGTTTTTAATTTTTGATTTTTCATTTTTCCGACTTTTTAGTTTTCATTTTTTCGATTTTATATTATAACTTTTCGTTTTTTGATTTCCTTTATTTTTTCAATGTTTCTTTCGATTTTATAATTTTTCGTTTATTCAATTTTTCAAATTTTCAGTTTTTGATTATTCAGTTTCTCGATTTTCCGATTTTTAAATTTTTCAATTTTGTAATTTTTGGATTTTTCAGTTATCCAATTTTCCGATTTTTTTATTTTCAATATTTCGATTTTACAATATTTCTTTTTTTGATTTTGTACTTTTTCGATTTTTAAATTTCTCAAATTTTAATCTTCTTCTTTAATTTTTCAAGTTTTTGATTTGCAATTTTTAGCTTTCATTTTGACTTTTAAGAAGTTTCATTTTTGATTTTTAAATTATATATACAATTTTGCAGTTTTTCTATTTTTTCAGAAGAAAAGCTGAAAAATCGAAGAACTGAAAAATCTAAAAATTGAAAATACTACAAATTGCTAAGGTAGAAAATCGAAAAATTGTAAATCAATAAACTGAAGAAACGAAAAATTTCGAATTGAAAAATTAAAATATCTAAAAATTGAAGAAGAGAAAAATTCAAAAGAGGAAAAAAATTAAAAAAATTGAAATATTTTAAATCCGTAACTGGAAAAATTGTAACTTGAACAATTCTAAGATCAAAATATTGGAAAAACAACTACAAAAAATCAAAAATGATGAAACTGAAAAATCGAAAACCTGAAAAATATATTTTAATTTTAAAGTTTGAAAAATCACGAAACTGAGAAATTAAAAAGTTGATAAAACGAAAAATTAAAATATCTCAAAATTAAAAACGAAAAATTGGAAAGTTGAAAAATTACAAATTGAACATTGCAAATGAAAGATAGAAAAGTTCGTGAGTTACAACACTGAAAAAGTTAAAATTAAAGACTAGGAAAATAACGAGTCAAAAATATGTAAAATGTAAAAATTCCAAATCGAAAAAGTGAATAATCGAGAAAGTGAAGTTCGAAAAAATATAAAAAAAAAAAATCGAAAAAATGAAAAATTAAAAAACCGAAAAATCGGCATCTTAATGAAACGTCGAAAAATTGAAGAAACGAATACTTTCGAAATTTAAAAATCGAAATTTGTATCGAAGAAACGAAAAATTGAAAAATTCAAACGACGAAAAAAGAAAAACTGAAAAATTCAAAATTAAAAACACCAAGGATCTAAAAACTGTAAATCAAAAAGTTGAAGAAACAAAAAAACCAAAAATAAAAAAAAACAAAAATCTAAATTTCTGAAAATCGAGAAACGATATAGGCAAAAAAGTAAAAATTGAAATATTGAAAAAATAAAAGTTAAGAACCTAAAAAATCCGAAAGTTGTGAAACGAAGAATTGAAATTTGCAATATCCAAAAATTGAAAAAATTTAAATATCTAAAAATTAAAAAGCGAAAAATTAAACTTTGGCAAATTGAGAAACAAAGCTATCGGAATATTGACAAAAATTAAAATTCAAAATATGTAAACTGAAAAATCCAAAAATTGAAAATCGAAAAGTTGAAAAGTTGAAATATCGTAAACCCGAATAAGAAAATTAAAAAGAAAAATTGAAAAATATGAAAATGAAAACTCTATAAACTGTAAGAACTAAAAGTTGGAAATTAAAATTTTGAAAAAACGAAAAAAGGACAAATCAAAAAATGAGATACTAAAAAATCGAAAAAACGAAAAATCAAAAATATCTAAAAATTGAGAAATCGAAAAATTAAAAACCCGGAATAGGGTAAAACGAAAAAGCGAGAACCTGAAAAATCCAAAAGTTGAAATTCGAAAAATTGAAAGTTGAAATGTCCAAGAATTGAAAAAACGAAAAATTCAATCAATGAAACATAAAGAGATTTAAAAATAAAAAATTAAAAATCGAAAAATTGACAAATCAAGAAATTGAAAAGCTTAAATCTGTAAAAAGTGAAAATATGAAAATTTTAAAAAATTTAAAGTTCTAAAGATGAAACAAGAAAATTGAAAAATATGAGATTGAAGATTTCAAAAACTGTAAGATTAAAAAATTAACAAATCAAAAATTCAAGTAACGAAAAAAGGAAAAAATGAGAAACTGAAAAATCGAAAAAGTGAAAAAACGAAAAATAAAAATACGTAAAAATTGAGAAATCAAGAAACTTAAAGCGAAGTAGGGAAAGAACATAAAATTAAAAACGCGAAAAATCAAAAATTTAGAACCTGAAAAACCAAAAGTTGAACTATTCAAAAAAATTGAAAAAATTAATGAATGGGAAAATTGGAAGAAGAAAAACGATTCAGATCGCAAAATTGGAAAACCCAAAAATTGCAACATAGAAAAATAGAAAAATTAAAAATAGAAAAATGACCAATTTTGAAAACTCAAACGTCCAAAAGATGGAAAATCGAAGAACTGAAAAATTTGACAATGAAAACTCGAAGGGTGACATATAAAAATTAAACAGAAGAAACAAAATTTAAAAAATGGAAAAATTTTATTAAAAATTGAAAATAAGAGAAATTTTAATTAGAAAAGCTGCAAAATCTAAAAATTGAAACATTCGAAAGTTGAAAAAAGAAAATCTGAAAATTGTAAAATTAAAAACTTGAAAAACTGAAGAATCTAAAAACTGTAAATCAAAAAGTTGAAGAAACAAAAAAAACGAAAAATAACAAAACAAAAAAGTCAATGTATCTGAAAATCAAGGAACTTAAAAATTGATATAGGGAAAGAACGAAAAATTGAAAAATCGAAAAAATAAAACACAAGAACATAAAAAAATCTGAAAATTGTGAAACGAAAAATTGAAATTTGTAGTATCAAAAAAAGGGAAAAATCCAAAAATTATAAAATCGAACCCGAAAGATCCAAAAGTTGTAATTCGAAAAATTCGAAAGTCGAAATATCCAAAAAGTGAAAAAACGAAAAACTCAATCAATGAAAAACCAAAAAATTAAAAAATGAAAAATTGAAAAATTTTAAAATTCAAATGTGAAACAGGAAAATTGGAAAATATGTGACTGAAATCATGAAAAACGGTAAGATTTAAAAATTACAATTCAAAAAATTCAAGTAACGAAAAAAAGAAAGAAAATGAGAAACTGAAAAACGAAAAATAAAAATATCTAAAAATTGAGAAATCGTTGAACTTAAAGCTCGAAGTAGGAAAAAAACAAAAAATTGAAAAATCGAAAAATCAAAAATTGAGAACATCAAAAACCAAAATTTGTAAATTGAAAACTCGAAAGTTGAAATATTCAAAAGTTAAAAACACGAAAAATTGAAAAATTAAAAATCGGAAAATGACAAATTTTGAAAACTGAAACATCCAAAAGATGAAAAATCGAAGAACTGAAGAATTTGACAATGAAAACTCAAAGAACCACATATAAAAAAATTGAGAAATTACAGATCGAAAAACTGAAAAAATCGAAAAATTTAATTAAAAATTCAAAATTGGAGAAATCTTAATTAGAAAAATTGAAAATATAAAAATTAAAAAATTCAAAAGCTGAAAAAATTAAAAATTGAAAAATTTACATAAAAAATTAGTCTTTAAAAATTACGTATTTAGTAAGAATGACAACTAAGTATATAAGATGAGGTTATTGATAATGAAGCTAGTAGTGAAAAAAAATTCCAATTATTTTGCTCCATTGAAGCTTAATTAACTAGTTTATTAAATCAAATTTCATTTTCTTTTAAAACAAATGCATACTTTGACCTGTGAGCTCTGATGCTGGTTATCAGTACGTGCTTAATATTCGAACTTTTATTGACGACACTGGAAATCATGTTGTTTCAGCTCTACTTTTTTTGAAGAAGTTGTATTTTATATGTAAAAATTGAACAATAGCGATAGATACAGTTATAGTTATGACGCATAAATATCAACAGTTATTCAAAAATCAAACATAAATTTAGATAAAAATATTTTTTTCTACATGGTGATGCAAAAACTTGAAAACCAATACAACAAAATGGTGGATGCGCCGGGCCAATCACATGGAACTACCTATAACCTGCACGGTTATATACAGGCTTTTGATAAAGTAATGCACAAAATTCATAAAAAAGGCAACAATTGTTTTTGAAAAAAATACAAAAACACCGCAGTGCTTCGGAATCTAATTGCTACGTTTCCTGATCCAGATAATGCACAAAATTTTGATCCCAGGATTTGGTTAGGGGATAATTAATTTGATGGAAGGTGGATTGGAAGACATCGACCAATGGAATGGCCACCTAGGTCTTCGGATCTAACACTCCCGATAATTTAGACGACTTGAATATTGAAAATTAGTCGTTTAGGTTGACTTAATTGGAGAAAAATTAAAGAAAAAGCATATTTTCCTACATTAAAATAAATTTTTATTCATGAGCGAAATATAGACATATCCTTAAAAATAATTATAAATGTGGTTATAATACATGTATCAAAATTTTCAGTATCAAATTTTTTAACATCATATAGGTATGCGTATTAAAATACATTTACCTTGACTAACCCATAAAAAACATGTAGAACTAGACACAGATTTAAACAGTTACGCTTTGAAAAGCTCCGCAACTGGTACTTTTTCCAAAAAACCACTAAAAATAGTACCAAACAGAGGTGCATAAACCTGTTCCAGGGGCTTACATGCTGTAAATATTTCAGCCCCCTTTTCAGTCATCGCTGAATTAAATTCACGATTCAAACGTTCATTAGAAAAAAGCTTAAAATCAAACGCAAGGCCTCGTGCTTGAAGATCAATTCCAGTACCAACCACTCGAAAATAGGTACCACCTTTTTCGTACTCTTGTAAATCAAACTTTAAGGTAAATACAGGCTCAACTAAAATTAACAATTCAGAGAAAAAAATTCCAGTACATGCACAAGACTCACTTAGAATTGCCTCAAGCGGTGTTACAACGTTTAAAGGTAGAAGAACCAAAGTACCTTCAGCTTTCCATTGAGAGTACCACTTGATTTCAGAATACGTGGCCTCTATTGTTAAAGTACTGGTCACCGGACCAAAGTCCATTCTGCATTAAAAATATGTAAAAAATTGTTGCTCAAATTTAAAAGTGGTACCTTGCTGTTACATTTTGTGGGTTTGACAAACCAATAAACCTCAAATTGCTATATTTTTGTTTTAAACCGTAAGTACTATTTCCGAATTCGAAATACAGATCGGGTGGATAGACAACATCGTACAAACTCGGTAAACCATGGGATTTTAGTGGTTTTTCTAACGATATAATAGCACCGTGGATAGCTTTGCTTAAACACTGGTTGAAATCAGTTCGTCTTCTGTCACATTTTTGGAAACTAGAAGCTGCACAATTTATTAAATTGGTGTTAATTTTTAGAGAAGTTACTTACGAAGTTGCAGACAACTGGAAATGGTTGCTAAGGCGACTACACAAAGTGTTAAACTGTTCATTCTTGACGCAGTTTAGTAAATTAATGTTCAGTAGTTGAATGTTCAAGCATTTATAAAGAAGACAGAACCACTTATAAGAACATAATTTTTAAAATAGCATAAACTTCTCATTAAATAAGTTGTTATGTAAATACTTTGTTATGTTATCTAGGCGAACACAAATAAAACTAATATAGGGAGTTGCTTTTTATTTTTAGACTACAAAGAAAGCAGCTTTAAAAATGTGAAATAAACATCTAACCATCGAAAAGCTCAGCAACGGGAACTTTTTTCAGAAAATCGTTCAATATTGTCCCAAACCGCGGAGCAAAAATCGCTAAAAAGTGCTTAAAATGAGCAAAAAGCGGACGCCATTTTGCACTCATGGCAGAATTAAATTCTTCGTTCAGAATTTCATTGGAGAATAGTTGTTTGAAGCCGAATTTAATGGCCTCTAGTTGCATGTCTACTTTGGAATCGATTACCCTAAAGTAAGTAGTACTTTTGTCGTACTCCTCCAGTTCAAAACTAAATGTAAACGTTGGATCAACTAAAAGACGGCATTTAGAACAGTCATATTATGAACTTGTCCAGATTACCTACCCAAAGTGTATTCAACAGGTGTTATGACGTTTACAGGTAGAAGAACAATAGTACCTTGAGCCTCAACTTCACTTTCTAGCGTAACTTGAGAGTAAGTCGCTTCGATTGTCAAAGTACTAGTCAAAGGACCGAAATCTAATCTGTGCAAGAAAATAAATAAAAGGTAAAAACCTCAGTGAAAATAATACCTAGCTTTTATATTCTCCGGTTTCGACAGACCGATAAACCTAAATTGATCATATTTCTGTAGCAACCCGTAGGTACGGTTTCCGAATACATTGACAACGTCTGGAAATTCGACGTCGAACAAACTTGGTAAACCATGCGATGGCAAAGGTTTGTCTAAAATCCTAAGGGCGCCATAAATAGCTTCACTCAAGCACTGGTTAAAGTCGGTTCTCTTTCTGTCACATTTTTTGAAACTGGAAGCTTAATATTTGTTCACAAAAAGCAAAATTCGTTTTTTTTTCGGAACTACTTACGAAGTTTGAGGCAGCTGCCAAAAGCCACTAGGGTTAATAAACAAAGCACGAAACTGTTCATCTTCCGTCTTGGAATCAATTAAATTTTGAACTTCGGTGGTTTAAATATATATGAAGACATTAAAAAAAGAATGGGTCAACAGTTTCAAACCTGTTTGAAGCAAGGTTATCCGGCGAGCATTAGGGATTTTTCAAGAAACTGGTGTTTGGCATAACTGCTTATTTTAATAAGCTATCATTACATAGAAATGAGAAAATATTATTTTTAACCTAACCTAGCTGTTCTTGAATTAAGATAGGTCAAGGCGAAGAGGTCACCTTCACGTCACGGGATTGGCGCCTTTCAGCGGGGCGGTTGCTCGGGCGCTATCTGGGGTACTCCAACCGGAGGAACGGATCTTTAGACATGCTTTATTTTAGGATTCACCAAGTCGAAGACATTTGTTTGTAGATTACGACGTCTATCTGGAAGTTAATTTTCAGGTTCATTTTCGTATAATTACTAAGAGTATATATATATAAACTAATTGATTTTCAAGTCGAATATGACCGAAAGTTTGCTCCAAGACCTCTATATTTTTCGAATTAGTATATTGAAATATACAGGGTGGGTCACTAAGCGCACGGTCCTTGATATCTCATTGGTTATTATTAGAAATAGAATAAAGACAAATATGAAAGTTGTACGTTTCTTTGAGGACTACACACTAAATAATTTTTAGTAGTTTTTGTAAATGAAACACCCTCTAAATTTTTAGATATTCTCATTAACACTTCCTATACTTTTGAGTCACAAATTATTTTTGAAATTCCGATGCGACGTTGCCACGTTAATCCAATTTTTTGGAAATTTTTAGTTAATGGAGAGGTTCGTACAAAAAATGGCACAAGGTTATTTTTAAAATCTATGTTGCAATATTTTGTTGAACAGTAAACAAAGGTACACTTTTTATTGTCGTACCAATTGAATCAAATTTTAATATACAATGTGTTATTATTATACTGTATATTATTATTGTATCTTACTCAGTAAAAAATCCTAGCAGGGATCAATTTTAAATATGGAAAATGTTTAACAGAAAAAATAGAAAAGGAAAAATACGTAGAACAGGCTTCAGTTATAAAATAGAGAATTTAAAAAAAACTGGAGTATCGGTATTTGAAACTTGTATTTATTTAAAACGCAATAGTCAAAAATAATTTTATAAATAAACTCCCAAAGAACCGTACAACGATTTCTAATAATTAGTGAGATATCGAGTAACGCGCATTTAATGACCCACTCTGTATAACCCAGAATTTGTTGTGCACTTTTAGACATTTTCAAAAGCTTAAATACTCCCCCTCATGAAAATTTTGAGTTTCCCAGAATTTCTGGTGGATTTCTAGAGGCTATTTTCAAAAATTCAATTTTTCAAATACTTCCCCGACGTGAAAATTTCGATCTTTCCTAGACCACTTTCGAAAATTATCAAATGAAATTTGTTTGTAGATTTCAACCTCCAGAAATTATTTTGGGGTATATTTCTTCGAAAACTTTAACAAATATGTACCTGTTTTGTAACACTTAACAATAGTACATAAGAGCGTTTTGGTAACACGCTTATATCTAGTGATGTTAGATCACACTACCTATAATAAAAGAGTTTAAGAGAATGGAGTGAAAATTTTAATAAGAATGACGTATCCTCTAAGAAATTGAATTAAATTATCAGAAAAAACAGAGGCTCCAAAGCAATTCCAAAATTGTTTTAAATAATTGACAAAAAAAATCCCCGGTACCCGAGAGTCTCCCGAATTAAAGAAAAACACTGCGGTACTCAAGACTTTTTCAAATTAGTAAAAATTAAACACTAAAAGCTCATAAAAAATTTTCAAGTTCATCCAGCAACAAAACCCCAGATTTTTGTAAATTTATCTGAAATTGTGATGATTTCTATGTGATGAAGGGAGTCTTACGGGATATCAAATCGCAATTGATATGCGTCTAATATAAAAATGTATTTAGCTTATCAAATTGATGTTTATTCAGTTTCAAAAATAGTAAAGAAAACATTGTACATGGAATAAAATACTTATATATGTATAAAAGAAGTGAAGATAAAGAAAAAAACGATACGCATCATTAAGCCAAAAGAATTACAAATGAAACTTTAGACAAAATACAAAATTAACCCTCAAACAGCTCAGCAACTGGTACTTTTTCCAAAAAGCCATTGAACATAGTACCAAAGAAAGGTGAATAAATCTGTGCCATGTGCTGAACCAGTGCAAATATTTCAGCCCACTTTTCGGTCATCGCGGAATTAAATTCACGATTTAAACGTTCACTAGGGAAGGGTTTTTTAAAATCAAATATAAGACCTCGTGTTTGTATCTCAATTCCAGTACCAACCACTCTAAAATAGGTACCACCTGTTTCGTGCTTTTGCAAATCAAATTTCAACGTAAATATTGGTTCAACTAAAACTTAATAGTTTAGAAAACAATTTCGACTTTTTGTACAAAACACACCAAAAATTACCTCAACCGGTGTCACAACGTTTAAAGGCAGAAGAACCACAGTACCTTCAGCTTTCCATTCAGCTGACCACTTGAATTTAGAATACGTGGCCTCTATTGTTAAAATATGGGTTACCGCGCCAAAGTCCATTCTGCATTACAAACGTGTAAAAAATTGTTGCTCAAATTTAAAAGTGGTACCTTGCAGCTACATCCCGTGGGTTGGACAAACCAGTAAATCTCAGATTCTTAAATTGTTGTTTTAAGCCGTAAGTACTATTTCCAAGTTCGACAAACAAATCGGGTGGAAACACAACATCGTACAAACTCGGTAAATCATGGGATTTTAGTGGTTTTTCTAACGATATAATAGCACCGTGGATAGCTTTGCTTAAACACTGGTTGAAATCAGTTCGTCTTCTGTCACATTTTTGGAAACTAGAAGCTGCACAATTCGTTAAATTGGTGTCAATTTTTAGAGAAGTTACTTACGAAGTTTCAGACAACTGGAAATGGTTGCTAAGGCGACTACACAAAGTGCTAAAATGTTCATTCTTTACGCAGTTCAGTACATGAATGTTCAGTAGTTGAATGTTCAAGCATTTATAAAGAAGACAGAACCAGCTTAATGGAATATAACTTGAAAAATAGCATAAACTTCTCATTAAATAAGTGGTTATGTAAATGCTTTGTTATATTATCTAGATAAACACAAATAAAACTAATATAGGGACTTGTTTTTTTATTTTTAGACTTCAAAGAGTGCAGCTTTAAAAATGTTAAATAAACACCTAACCAACGAAAAGGTCAGCAAAGCGAACTTTTTTCAGAAAAGCGTTAAAAATTGTTTCAAACCTTCGTTCACAATTTCGTTGGAGAATAGTTATTTGAAGCCGAATTTAATACCCTCTACTTGCATGTCTAGTTTGGAATCGATTACCCTAAAATAACTAGTACTTTTGTCGTACTCTTCCAGTTCAAAACTAAATGTAAACGTTGGATCAACTAAAAGTCCGCATTTAGAACAGTCATAATATGAACGTGTACAGAGTACCTACTCAAAGTGTATTCAACAGGTGTTATGACGTTTACAGGTAGAAGAACAATAGTACCTTGATCCTCAACTTCACTTTCTAGCGTAACTTGAGAGTACTTAAGTCACAGTACTAGTCAACGGACGGAAATCTAATATGTGCAAGAAAATAAATAAAAGGTAAAACCCTCATTGAAAATAATACTTAGCGTTTATATTCTCCGGTTTCGACAGACCGATAAATTTAATTTGATCATATTTCTGTAGCAGCCCGTAAACACGGTTTCCGAATATATTGACAACGTCTGGAAATTCGACGTCGAACAAACTTGGTAAACCATGCGATGGCAAAGGTTTATCTAAAATCCTAAGGGCACTACAAAGTACCAAACTGTTCATTTTCCGTCTTGGAATCTATTAAATTTTGAACGTTTGTTGGTTTAAATATATATTAAGACATTAAAAAAAGAATGGGTGCTTCAAACCTGCTTGAAGCAAGGTAATCCGGCGATTTTTCAAAAAACTGGTGTCTGCATAACTGCTAATTTTTATAATTAGATGCCGTTGCATAGAAATGAGATAATGTTATTTTTAACCTAACCTAGCTGTTCTTAAATTAAGATAGGTCTAGGCGAAGAGGTCACCTTCACGTCAGGGGATTGGGGCCTTTTACCGGGACGGTTGCTCGGGAGTTATCTGGAATAATCCAGCCGGAGGAACGGATCTCTAGACATGTTTTATTTTTGGAATCAACAAGTCGAGATTCCATAACACAGAATTTATTTTGGATTTTTAGATGACTTTTTCAAAAGCTCCTCTAAAAATTACCTAGACATTTTTTTTGTAGATTACGACCTCTATCTATTTCTGCTTCATTGTTTCGAAAACTGCTATTAATTATTTGAATACATTTTTGCAATTTTTAAGATTATTCCTAATTCATTTTCAAATCGCATATGTCCAAAATTTTGTTCCGGGACCTTTACATTTTTCGAATTAGTATATTGAGATATACAGGGTGAGTCACTAAGTGCAAAGTTGTACATTTCTTTGAGGGCTACACGCTGAATAAGTTTTTGTAAATGAAACACCCTATATATTTTTACACATTCTCGTTAGCATTTTCCTAGACTCTTTATGACAGATTATTTTTGAAATTCCCATGTGACGTTGCCACGTTATTACCATTTTTTTTGAAATTTGTGTTACAATATTTTATGGAAGGAATGGTACGCGCCTTATTGTCGTACCAATTGAACAAATTGTAATATATAGGATGTTTCTAAAAACTTTTTTTTTTCAATTTTCCAATGTTGCTATTTCGGTTTTTTCAACCAGAACGACTGTGTATATTATTAGTGTATCTTGCTCTATTTTTTGTTCTCATTTTTTTGAGATTTCGATGTGTCGCTTAAAAAAGTAAAAAATTGTAGTAATCATCAACTTTAAATATAAAAAATACTTACACAAAAGATAAAAAGGATAAAATACAAAATTTGAATAAAATAAAATATCGATATTTGAAAATTGTAGATATTAATTATTTTTGTATCACAACAGAGTGCATACTTTTATTAATCTCTCCACAAAATATTGAGAGATTGTAACCGTACTGCGATTTTTATGCACCCTTAAATTGCAAACAAAATTAAAAAAACACTGCATTTGTAAACATTTTCAAATGGTCAATTTTTAAGTAATCCCCCTCGTGAAAATTTTGAGCTTTCCGTTTTTGTGTATTTCGCACTCTAGAATTTTCTTTCGGTCTCATTTCTTCAAAAACTCTTACCATTTTTCCAGAATCGTCTAACAAACTATGGTATTTACTAGAATTAAAAAAATGGATTGTCAAACCAAATAATTTTCTAAATACTTGTTCCGGAACATTAAAATACTATGTATTTTTGGAGTCAGTACGTCAACATCTATCTCTCAGAATTTCTTGTCGATTTCTAGAGTCCATTTTCAAAAGCTCCATTTGTCAAATACTCCCCCCACATGAAAATTTCGATCTTTCCTAGACCACTTTCGGAAAAATATCAAAGGACTTTTTTTTATTTCATCCTCCAGAATTTACTTTCGGCTATATTTCTTCGAAAACTTTAACAAAATTTGTACCTGTTTTTTAACACTTGTATTACGTAAGTGTGACAATAGTACATACGCGAGTTTTGGTAACGCGTTTATATCTAGTGATGTTAGATCAGAGTAATATAATAAAACAGTTTACGTAAATGGAGTGAAACTTTTAATGCTTTCAATTTTTATTTATGCACTAGATATATGATGTTTTTGTCGAGTTATACATACCAATCACAATTAGTTTAGTAATTTAATTTTAAAAACTGCTGTTTCTATTGTTGTGTGTTAAATAAACGTAAATTTGTCTCTTTAAAAAAAAACGTTCGGCTACTTTTTTTTTAAATCTGGGAAAAATAAATATACAAAGTTTATGTAGTTATATACCGGATGTCTGGAAAATGGCGGATTAACTCTTTAGTACGTTATGTATGGGAGTTTCGGGCGTTCCAAAATAATTATAAAAAACTTCTTTATGATGCAGAATACGAAAACAACCTAATTTTATAAACAACTAATAGTCATTAATCGTTGTGCATTATAATTTATATATTTATTAATGAAACAAGTTCTTATTTTTCATTAATAAATAAATGGAAAAAAAAAATTAATAAGATATTTATAAATTATAAACAAAAGCAAAACCAACAAAAGAAAAATCCATTAAAGCATAACCAAGTAAACACTAGAGAAGATGTTCAAAATTCCTATATATACATATATGTATAACTAAGCTCGTAATGTTTCCAAGTTTTGATCATTTTTTGTAAAAGTTAGTCATCACTACTTGCTAAGATAAAACTGACTTTAGCAGATGACATATCCTCTAAGAAACAAGAGGGTGGGTGGGAGGGGCTAGTACTTTCTAAAATAGGAATGATTTTAGCAAATAAAATACCTTCTAAGAAAAGATAGAGCGGGTAGGTGGGACTAGTAGCTGCTAAGATAAAACTGATTTTGGCAAATAACATTCTCTTTAAGAAAAATAGGGTGGGCGGGCGGGGCAAGTAGTTGCTAAGATAAGATTAATTTTGGCTAATGAGGTAACCTCTAAGAAAAAAGAGGGTGGGTGGGCGGGGCTAGTACCTACTAAGATAAAACTGATTTTGGCAAATAACATTCCTTCTAAGAAAAGAGAGGGTAGGCGGGTGGGGCAAGTAGCTGCTAAGATAAAACTAATTTTGGCTAATATGGTACACCCTAAGAAAAGAGAGGGTGGGTGGGCGGGGCTAGTGCCTGCTAAGATAAGGCTGATTTAGGCAAATGATGTATCCTCTAAGAAATTGAATTAAATCACAAGAAAATACACCAGAAGCCCCAAAGCACTTTCAAATTCTTTCTAAAAGAGAATACCTAGAACCTCAAGATTGTTGTAAATTTTTCAAAAAGAAAACGGGGTCCCAAAATTAACTCAAAAAGAGGTCGGGTGAGAATTTTACAAAAATAGAACAGTAAAGTGCCCCAAAACAAAGTAATGCACAATGCGTACCCAAGAGTCTCTCGACTTAAAAAAACACTGTGGGATTCAAGACATTATCAAATTCGTAAAAATAAAACATTAAAAGCTCAAAAAAATTGTTCATGTTCATCCAGCAATAAAACATCAGATTGCTGTAAATTTATCCGAAATTGTGATGAAGGGAGATCAAATCGCAATTGATATGCGTCTAGTCTAAAAATGTATTGAGCTTAAGAAATAGATGTTTATTTAGTAGCAAAAATAGTAAAAGAAACATAATACATGGAATAAAACACTTATATATAAAGGAGGTGTAGATAAAGGAAAAGAAAACTTTTAATAGATTGATTAGATATTACGAATTCAAGAAAACGATAAGCATTATTAAGTCAAAAGAATTACCAATCAAACATTACACGAAATACAAAATTAGCCGTCAAAAAGCTCAGCAACTGGCACTTTTTCCAAAAAGCCATCGAACATAGCGCCAAAGAAAGGTGCATAAATCTGTAGGACATGCTGAAATAGTGCAATTATTTCAGACCCCTTTTCGGTCATCGCTGAATTAAATTCACGATTCAAACCTTCATTAGAAAAGAGCTTTTTAAAATCGAATCTAAAACTTCGTGCTTGTATATCAAATCCACTACCAACCACTTTGAAATAGGTACCACCTCTTTCGTACTCTTGCAAGTCGAATTTCAAGGTAAATACAGGTTCAACTAAAACTTAATACTTTAGAAAACAATTTCGACTTTTAGTACAAAACACACCCAAAACTACCTCAACCGGTGTTACAACGTTTAAAGGCAGAAGAACCATAGTACCTTCAGCGTTCCATTCAGAGGACCACTTGATTTCAGAATACGTGGCCTCTATTGTTAAAGTACTAGTTACCGGGCCGAAGTCCATTCTGCATTACAAACGTGTAAAAAATTGTTGTGCAAATTGAAAGTGGTACCTTGCAGTTACATCTTGTGGGTTTGACAAACCAGTAAACCTCAGATTCTTAAATTGTTGTTTTAAACCGTAA